TAGGGGTCTAGGGGTTTAAGGGGTTTAGGGGTTTAGGGTCTTATGGGTTTAGAGTTTAGGTTTTAGGGGTTAGGGGTTTAGGGTTTAGGGTTTAGGGGTTTAGGGGTTTACACTCTCACAACTCGGACAAGCCAGGTTTAGGGGTTTAGGGTTTAGGGTTTAGGGGTTTAGGAGTTTAGGGTTTAAGGGTTTAGGGTTTAGGAATACTTAGAACAAGAACGAGGCTTCGGGGTCTATTGCGGTAGGGTTTATAGGGTTTAGTGTAGAGTTCAGGAGCTGGGGTCTAGTATGGCCTTGGAAAGTGGCGGCGAGAGGCATGTTCAGGCTTATGTTATACAGAAACTCACCCTCAGGAATCAAGAAGCACTCGTCATTCCTAACCCAACCATCCCCGCCCCCCCCCTCCCCCCCCCCAAAAAAAAATCTTAACCCTCAGCCCCGAAACAACCCCAAAGCGCGTAAGCCGCGTTTCAAAATGCAGCCCCACACCTTAACATGCACCTTTATCTCCAAAACCTGACACTGTACCCAAAGTTACAACAACATTACATGCCAAACAAACCTATAAGCAATACCCCAAACCCTCTCTCTCTCTACCCTAAACCATAAACCCTAAACCCTCTCTCTCAAAAACCCAAGAAGCCAAAAGGAGTCCGGCCAAGGGTCGATCCTGCTCGCGGCCCAAGCAGGCCAGGCGCATCAGGGCGAGGTCCTGACAAGGCCCAGGCCCTAAAAAAGGGGCCCTAATAAGTAGACTAGGGTTCCTTTAAGGAGTTACTATAAGGGCTATTATAAAACTATAAGGGCTCTATAACAATATAATATAGGGGCCTGAATAATTAGAATAGGGTTTTCGGGTGATAATATACTGCATATTATAATAAGGAACCCCCACAAATAGTATGGGTAACTATTTCGTCCCCTCTACATTAGCCGAGTTCTGCGGTTTGGCACGGGGTTCTGGGGTCTTTAGGCCCTTCGCAGCTGGGCCCTGAGTGTCAGTCAGCAAGTCCGCCCACGCTCGACCCTAAACCCTGAACCCTTCAACCCTGGACCCTATAAAGTTGTAGATAGACGCTAGACCCTGAACCCTGAAACGCTATAGGGCCACATAACCCATCATAACCCTATACCTTAGGCTCTAAACCCTGAACCCTAAAAGCCTAGAGGGTTTTGAGGATTTGAGGCCAGGGCTTGGCGCTTGGACTCTCAACAACTCGGACTTCTGTTTGCTCCGGTTCTAGTTCCCCGCTAGGGGCAAGAATCACGTCGAGGGTTTGGGGTTTCCGGCTCTGTAACGCTTTTTGGGGGTTCAAGGTTTCTTTCCGGCGTCTGGGGTTTATAGGGTTTGCTATTTCGGAGTGGGTTCGCGGGGTGTTCTGTGCTGTTGAATTTAGGATTGGGATGGGTTCTATGGTCTGCGGTGGGGTCTGGTCAGAGTAAACGGAGGTCTACCGGGTTCCATTTAAATAGTTTCTTCACCTGGTAGCCCAAAACCCAAGTACCCTGAATCCTAAACCCTAAGCCGCAGGGATTTCTTGCAGCTCGGGCTTGGCGGGGCGTGTACAGAATTTCTCAAGGTTGGTCTCCCTTGTTCTCGCCATACCCTAGCCCATTTACCTAAACTTTGGGGCTGACAGGGTTTGCGACTAGTCCGGATTTGCGGTTGCGGGTTCCGGATGTATGGTTGTGGATCATTGACAAGTTATAGCCATCTAGTGTGGCTGATGCCCACTACATCCAGCAAAACAGCGACTTCTGGGGGGCGTCACGAAACCTTCACTCACCTGCCAAAGGCTCAGAATCTGGGCATCATCAACTTACTAGTAGTTAGTAGTAATGACTACGACTACAACACACTAAAGACTTGACGAACCAGAACAAGTTCTGCAATCCTCGGAAGCCGCCAAGGGAGCACGAAGGACCCGCGCACGACACGCCTGAAGTTTGCAAGGGCTGGACTAGCAGCATAGTCAGGCTACGCTTGCGGCAGCTATGAGCCGACGGTGTGCCATCTCAGCGAGGGCCAGGGCTCGGGAATTTGTTAGGAGCCTGGCAAATACCGAAGCTTGGG